CTGGGTCTTTCAGCATGACAATGATCCCAAACACACTGCCCTGGCAACGAAGGAGTGGCTTCGTAAGAAGCATTTCAAGGTCCTGGGGTGGCCTAGCCCGTCTCCAGATCTCAACCCCATGGAAAACCTTTGGAGGGAGTTGAAAGTCCATGTTGCTCAGCGACAGCCCCAAAACATCCCTGCTCTAGAGGAGATCTGCATGGAGGAATGGGCTAAAATACCAGCAACAGTGTGTGAAAACGGCAAAAGTATGCTTAAACATTGATTTAATGTTCTTTGGATGCAACTCAGCATTCTCTCTCCTCCAAACACAACAAGTTGAGTCTTTGGATGCAACTCAGCATTCTCTCTCCTCCAAACACAACAAGTTGAGTCTTTGGATGCAACTCAGCATTCTCTCTCCTCCAAACACAACAAGTTGAGTCTTTGGATGCAACTCAGCATTCTCTCTCCTCCAAACACAACAAGTTGAGATTTTCCACCATGATTTGCAAATCAATTCTTTAAAAATCAGACAATGTGATTTTCTGGATTTTTCCCCCCATTTTGTCTCTCATAGTTGAGGTATACCTATGATGAAAATTACAGGCCTCTCTCATCTTTTTAAGTGGGAGAACTTGCACAATTGGTGGCTGACTAAATACTTTTTTGCCCCACTGTATCTGAGCAGAGTATACTGTCTGAGTATGTCTGTCTGAACAGAGTATACTGCGTTACATGTAAGCTTGTTTTCTCATTCCAAAAATATTTATTTATTTTATTAAATTTATATGCCGCCCATCTTCCCCAAATAACTTTCACTTTTGTCCCTTCTTGTCCAGCACTGGGATCATAGTAAAATAACCTGAACCAAGAAATCACCTCTCCAAGACAATGTTTTCTTTTTACAAACCTGTTCTTCCTTTCTAGTAATTTAATTTCTTTGTTCTCTCACCAGGATTGTCTCTCTTAGTATTTCAGGTGCTTAAGGGGACTTTTGGGGGGGGGTCTCCTTCTTTAAGGTGTTCCCCTCAAAAAATTTAATTTTGCAAATATCAGTTTTCTCTCTGAATATGCCTTTTAAGATAATATCCCCATTCATATAAAGATATTGTGTTAGGCTCTGTGTGGATTTATGACTTTATATTGTTAATTGCTTGAATTTCAGTATTACAAAGATATGAGAATAATGGGCATAAAACAATCCAGCTACAGCTAATTTTCATTCAGCATTTCTCAATTAAATCAATGTTTAAGCATACTTTTGCCAAGTAATATTACACTAATAATTTTGCTTCTTGGACATTTCATTGAGCACCGTGAAATAGCTGAGAATTCTGTCAATGGAGCAAAACCTTTACTCATTTTTAAGTAAGGTAAAGAGATGTAACAAACATACTATAAGTAGTATTTGGGGCCTGTGCAAAAATAATGCTTCAATCCTTCTTGTTTGTTTTTGAATTCTTTTCCCTTTGCTGGTCCAGAAAATGTAGCTTTGAAAATAAGATTTGGATATATGGGTGAGAGAAGCTCCTGTTTAATATTAAACATAATTAGATTAACATCACCCTAAATTTAACAGTGTTTAATATTATGAGGAGGAGCCAATTCCTTTAACTATGTTTAAAAGTTCTGAGAGATTAAACCTTATGAAATAATAGTATGTTTAGCATCCTTATTATGATAAAGTAGCTTTTGTCTGTCAAAACATAGGTAATAATATATGTTTAATGTGGCCCAGAAATTTCATTGTCGATCCACCTAACTCATTAAAAGATCTTGAAGTTAATCTCCAGTATTAAGCATATAAAAAATAAAACTATATTTGAATGATTTAAAAGTCACTGTTAGTAAAACTGAAGACATTTTTATTTGTAACTGGGTGCCCAGATTTCAGTGGGAGAGAATTAAGAGCATGCTTCTCTTCTGTTGGAAGTGATACAAAAGTATTTTCAATTCCAGTGGATTATGCATGCTGTTTATACAACAGCATCTGCTCCCACCTCCTCAGTTTTAGGGCAATGCAAATTTACCATGTATCATGTTTACTCAAAAGCAAATATCACTTTATTCAGTGATGTTTGTTTCCTCATGAACAGTATTGCTGCCTAAGATGTGTTAGTTCAGATGGTACTTACCTCATATTCTAAATACCTGTATAATGAATCCATATAAGACTTTTGGGGAGGGGGCACAATCATTCTGTACAATTCTGTTTGTGAAGACACAACCAGTATAATGGCAAATATCTTTTTAGTGCTAATAAGGATCTGTATGATTAACTTTGATTTATGATACATTTTCTTTCTCTTTCTTCTGCCATATTAGTCTTCACAGTCTAGCTGGTTGACCACCGAAGAAAGGAACCAAGCTTTGTATGATCTTAAAGCTGCTGGCTGGTCTGAACTCACTGAAAGAGATGCTATATTCAGAGAATTCATATTCAAAACTTTTAATCAGGTAAATACCTTTAATATTATTCTTGATTTAAAGGAAATACATATTTCTTGATTCCCCCTTGTACTTAAAAAACCTCATGTGCTACCAGAACCTGTTCTTTAGAGTTTAGCAACTTTATTATTATGCATTTTTTTAAAAAAAATTATGTGAAAAGTGATACACTTTTTAAAAGGATGGTAGAACTTTGTACTGAATGAGACCCAACTTATGTATTTGACTGGAATTTCACAGTCTAATTGTTGTAATTGTTCTGTTTCAAACTTACTGCAAGAATTTAAAATGGTAGTATTGCGCTATGGTCAATATATTCAGCCCAAACCAGAATTTTTAGGTGATCCAGTTGGCAAGTTAGATGGTTCCCACATTCATTGATTAATATATACATTGAATGGAAGGTCATTATATATGTAAGATCAATCAGTTCAATTAGAATACTTGTCTTTGTTGTTAAACAATCTTTGTATTTTGAGGATGGATGATTTTTTTTTTTTTTTACAGTTTCTGCTCTTGAAAACATTTTCTAGTGCTCTAATACTTTTAATTTGTAGAAATTTACAGAAGTGACTATGTGAGTATGAATATATATATCCTATTAGAAACATGCTTAAGACGCTAATATGTAAAAGTGCCGTAATATTTCACAGTCAGTTTAAAGAATAAAAGTAGGATTTTATTCATAGCTTTGTTTCTCAAGTCATTAAATCCCCTGTTTATAGAACATAGTGTAACTATTTAACTAAAGTTAGCCAAGAAGTATAATTTCCTCAGTGGTCTATAACTTGCCCTTTACAGAGGGCATAAAATCAGGTGTTAAAAAAGGCTGAAAAGTTAAGATGACAAAAAGTGTTTCTGAGGTACAAATGATACTGAGTCGATTGATCTGTTCCTCAAAAGTTTATTGATCTCACTGATAAATCCAATTATGTATGATTGTAGAAAATTCTGTGGGTTTTATTCAGCCAGGTTTTGGACACTCTTTGTATCAACAGATATAAATCTACTGGATTACAAAATTTTGGAAGCCCATGGTTATAAATGTTTTATTCAACTAATTACTTCTAATAGTAAGTAGAACAGGCTGATTCTTTGGTAATCAGGATAAAAATGGCTTAGAGGTAGTTTATTTGGTTAAAATAATGCTAATGAGGAATCTTTAAACCGACAGGTTTGTGGATTACAATACATCTTAATGTATTATAAAAGTGAGTTGTAGAGGCTTATGCTAAATCAAAGACTCTGTATTGATATTTTTATTTAGCAAGCTAGAATAGAGACTGTTTTAATTTGGTGTATCTGCAGATATCATATTCCACTTACCTAATGTTCTCTTTGATGTTTTGTCTAAATGTTCATTTAGTTCAGACATGACCCGTGTCTCTTAATGCTTGGTCCACTTGACCATATCTTTGTACCTTTAGAAGAAAATATCTTTGAGTAGGTCTGTTGCAGGTTCATAGAATTTGATGGTAAATTCTAAGTATAAAAATATTAATTTCCATAGTTATTTCAAGTATATTTTTTAGTTGTAATCCTTAAAACAGCCTATCAAGTCAGTTTTGTTCTCTCTCTTATTATTATATATTACACATGGATGGAATTTGAAGCTTAGAGTGCCTGGTTTCTCATATCAGGCAAGGATAATATTAACAATGGCTTGCTGAACAACCATAGTGATTTGGTTTATACATAGCATTGCCCTATATCATGTTTTTATAGACCACAGTGCCAAAGCCAAACCAAAGAAAATTGCATTAACTTGACATGTGGACATAGCCAGAAATAATTTGCCTAAAGCTATCTAGTGAGCTTATGACACAGGCCATATAAGCATCTGTTCCTAACCAGGATGATGCCAAAATGACAAAACATGTGTTTTGAGCTCCCCCATTTGTACTTGAGCTGCAGCGTCACATGCAAGTGCAGAAAGGATAGAGTGTGCACTGCAAGATCTTAACTCATTCTGTCACCTTCTCAGCTCTGCCCCTACTATAGATGCCTTTGAGAAGCAAAGTTCAAACTAGGGACTTCCGGGTTCATTTGTTCAGTACGTTAGCACAGTGTGAAGAGTTCTGTAGTTATTGACAGCACAGATGAAAATATATCACTAAAGAAAAGCTAGTTCTATTTTGTGGAATTCATTGCCATCAGATAATTAATTTAAATAGTTTTAAAAGAGGTGTGGACTAATTCATGGAGGATTAGGCTGTCAGTGACTACTAGTTCTAATATCTGTTTACTACCTCTGGAATCAGTGGAGCATGTCTTAAATATCGCCTGCCAGGACAGTAGGAAAAAAGGACTATCGTTCTCTCATCAATTTTTTAAAAACTTTTGGAAAGCATCTGATTGGACTTTGTATTACAAAGATTGTTGGACTAGAAGAGTTTGGCCTGATCCCTGGTAGGAAAGGTGACTGATAGAAAGCTGAAAATATAGTTTTGTGTTGTTTTGTTTCTTAGATGGTAAAAATGGAAGCAAATTGTTATTATGAGTAGCACTTTTAAAAGCTTTTTCCTTCAGAAAGAAAAAGAGAGAAATAATCATTTAGGGGAAAATAAATGTATCACTTTCCTTAGTTGATTTGATGTAGTTCTGTATTGGCAATTATATAATATGAATGTAAGCTGAGTGCACTGTCCCTTACAGATCTTTAAATCCATATTTTATAAAACTTTATAACTGTCAATTTTACAGTAAAATTCTGCAGTGCAGCATTTATTAATCCTATTCTGAGATAAAAAATTAAATAGGGAGTTGGAATGCTAGTCTATTATATATGCTATAAAATATAATTCTCTGGCACTGAGAGGCATCCATGGGCATAATAGTGGCATCATATGGGGGACCTCACATAGAAATCATAAAGGTTTTCCAAGTCTTTTTCTAGATTAGGAAAGATGTGTATTTCTAAATTTTTGAAGATCAGAATATTCTGCTATGCCTTTATATCACCTCTGTGTGTTTCTTTTGAAAATAACCTCATTACTTAACTGAATATCCCCTCAAAAAGAACTCTTTCAGAATAATACATTTGACTGGATGAAGACTTATTTTGGCTTTTGTAGGTAGCACTACAATATGTATAGTTGAAAGGTCAAATACATGGTATTCCTTGCTTTTGTAAGCTCTTAGGAAGTTTCCTCCTTTCTCCTGTATGATCAGCTGGGTTTCCTGTTTATTTTGGCCAAATGGCAATAAAAGAGAGAAGGATTTAGAAAGGAGCTCATGTTGAAGAATTACAGGACTGGCTGGAGTACTTGAAGGCTGTTTACAAAACTACTATGTTTATTAAATAAAGGCTTCAACTTAAATACTTGATTTAGCTTTTAGTACAACTTTTTAGGCTCTTATATCTAAAAGTGAGAAAGTAAACCCTACGTGAGTGTCAGGACTACATTTAATATCTAAAACTGGAACATCTTTTCAAGGTTGCTAGCTTGACTTTTAAAATGCATGATTATGTGTGCATGTGCGTGCATGCATGTATTCAAGGCAGTCTTGACTCCTGGCAACTGGCTGGACAAGTCTATTCAGTATTCTTGGCAATATTTTCAGAATGGTTTGCCACTGCCTTCTTCCTAGGGCTAGGACAGAGTGACTGGCCCAAAGTTATCCAGCTGGCTTCATGCCTAAGGTAGGACTAGAACTCAGGGTCTTCTAGGTTCTAGTCTGATACCTTTAATTATTACACCGAACTGGCTCTTTTTCAATAAAAGAATAGATTTAGTGAAGGAAGAATGCATGTAGTTTCCTAGTAAAATAGTACAAAATAATATGTATGCAGAATTCTGCTTAAATGAATAGAGCTTTCTGGAAGGGCAGATTTTTTAAAATTGTTGTCTTCATCTGCAGTTATTTCAAAATCCTGAAATGGTAGTAAATGTTCTTTCACAGTTGTTCATGTAATGATATAAAACGTGCACTACATATAGTGTGGTAAATCATATTTTTTAAGTGTTGAAATTTCATAGCTATCAATTTCTTAGAACCAAAATAAATCTAAAATACACAAGTTTCTCTCTGTTATCTGTATTAGATAACCTAATAGATCATTCTATCTAGCATTCTATCATAGAAAATATCTAATTATCTATTAGATCATTTGCTCCTATGTGGTAATCTCCTGATTTTATAAACAGGAGTCTTTATATATAGAGAGAGAGGGAGAGAGAGCACTAACATCAATTTAAAAGGAATGTAGTTTCCTTGAAAATATTTGCATTCATCTTTTTTGGGAAAGCAAATTCCTATTTCACATAGACGTGGAGAAGTATTTGTCAGAATGATGCTGTCTAATATTGCAGTTCAGCAATCAGACTTACAAACTACGATAACATACAGTAAATAACCTAAGAAAATTACAGATGTCCTCTGAATAAAAGTGACAAGAATTTCCTAATGGGATACCATTCATAGCAACATCACCCTCCTCTCAATTACCAGGAGAAACATCACTGCATATCACCACACCCACTGTTTAAGTGATAATATAACACAACTTTCCTGAATACCATTCTCGCCCCAGGGAACAAGCTGTTCCAAAGAAGAGGAGCCGGAGTAGAGAATACTTATTTCCAGACGCCCAGTTGGTGGAGGTCCCAGCGTGTCCTCTCTGCTATGTTGTATTAGGTGGGCAGTTTCTACTTGGAGTAGGCAGTCTCAAATATACCCATGTCCCAAGCCATAAAGGTCTTTATAGGTAATAACCAGAACTTTGCATTTCACCAAGAAGCAAACTGGCAACCAGTGCAACTTCTGCAGCAGGGGTGTTATATGATGCTAATGGCTGTCACATGTTAGCAGATGGGCTGCTGCATTTTGTAGAAGTTGTAACTTCCAAGTATCTTCAGGGACAGCCCTGGGTGGAGTAAGTTACAGTAGTCCAGCCATGAGGTGACAAGTACATGAGTGACCATTGCTAGTGACTCCTGTTCCAGGAAACACTGCAACTAGGAGGCCAGCCAAAACTAGCAAAGTCTTTCTTGGCCACAGTTTCTATC